ACCACAAAAGCCCTGTTTCCGTGAAAATCAATCCTTTCCCACAGTCCATCTTGAAAAAAGTTTTCATCATCTGACAAATACCCAAAACCCCATTATTAATTCCTTTTGAATTCTCATATATTATTCTCAAAAAAGAAAAAGAGGAAGAAGGAAAAAACAACATGGGATCGATTGGAGAGGGAAGAAAAACTGTTCATTTCTTTGTTGGAAGTCTTTCCTCAAATCAAAATTCACATTCCTTCTTCGTATTATCATTATTATTGTTGTTGTTTTTAATGTTTTTTGTTGGAGGAAGAAGACTATATTTATTATTAATTGATATTGTTGTTGATTGTGTTTGTTCAAATCTCACCGCACATCTCAATCACCCTTTCTCACTAAACCCAAAACATGATCGATTCTTAGAAAGAGAAACAAGTACAAAAGACTTTTCTTTTTTATTTTTTTTTTCTACCCATTTTGGATTAGTGAGAGAGGAGGTTCATAGCCACGAGAATTCCTAGTCTTAGAGAGAGAAACTGCCAATTGGGTCTCGGTTTCCAGGGTTTTTTCTTGCCTCTGGAGGTCTGTTTAATCCCATTTGTTTTTAACAGGCTAAGAGACTGGTTTTGTAAAGTGAGTCGAGTTAAATTTCGAATTTAGTAATTAGTTTTTTTTTTTTTTTTGATATTTTGGAAAATGGCGAGCGGTGGTGATGGTGGCGGCGGCGGCAGTGGTGGGGTAGAAGGGGAGAAGAAAAAGCTGTCTGAGGGGGAAACGAAAGTCAAGAGAAAGATGAAGACTGCTTCACAGCTTGAAATTCTGGAGAAGACTTATGCCAGTTTGTAACTCATTGTTTCTTTTTTCTTTTTTTTTTCTTTTTCTTTTTTTTGGTTCATTTGTTCTGGCCATCCGCTGATTTGCCTCAAATTTGTTGCCATTTTAGTGGAAAACTACCCATCAGAAGCATTGCGCGGGGAGTTATCTGTGCAATTGGGGCTTTCTGATCGGCAGCTGCAGATGTGGTTCTGTCACCGCCGGCTGAAGGACCGGAAGACACCCTCTGTAAAGCGGCAGCGGAAGGACTCCTCAGCTCCAGCTGTAGCGCCAGTAGCAACTGGGGAGGAAATGGCGGGAAATAAGCCTGCGTCAGGGTCCAGTCCATTTCGGCATAATGTGGAGCCAAGGCTGGTGGTTCTGAGGCCTGGGGTAGCTGTACCCAGGTACTATGAGGCACGACAGACAATAGCTGACCTTCGGGCAATAATGACTTTTGTGGAGGCACAGCTTGGGGAGCCGTTGAAGGAAGATGGGCCAATTCTAGGAATGGAGTTTGACCCCTTGCCACCAGGTGCATTTGGTGCCCCAATAAGTATGTTTAATGTAATTTTGAAGTTACTTCGGATTTTAAGTTGAATTACAACTTGCTTGAGAAAATGCAGTTGTCTCAATTCAGGCTGTGGGAATTAGAGCAAGTTTTTAGAATTTGTTACAATAAGCAGCTATGTTAGATATTGTTGCTAAATGAATTTAGGGATTATTTTCTCTGAAGAGGTTTTTGTGAGTGATGAAAGTGTGTCATATTTCCATTTTCTGACTTGAAGAGGATAGGGATCACAGAAGAATAATATATTTCTTCATTGTGGGTCAGTTGCTAATATTAGCTGTAGAAGTGGCTGGCATTGCCAAGACTTGAATTACTTGTTAATTTGTCAGAAAATTAGAAGAGAACATTTACTGCTGCTATGGATGGGCCATCCATGGAAGATGATGGATAAAATGATCTGAAAGATGATGTGGAATGTGGATTCAAATACAGTAAACTGAAAATAGAGTGATGGATAAGAAGAATGCCAATAAGGACAATTCTCTCTCTCTCTCTCTTTCTCTCATGTAGGTATTGCCTTATGAAATCTTGATGAAAAATTAGAAAAACATGAAGCAGGACATCAAAAGCTACTTTCCTTTTATGAGTTAAGTTAGTTACATTTTCCCCTTTATGAGTTTGTAAATGCATTTCCCCTTTATGCTTAGCTTTTTTAAGCCAACAACTGAGTTGGTTAATTGCTTTGTATTAAAGGTATTGTACCCTCAATAACTTTCTTGTATTTAACTAGGAGCATCAACAGCATTGCAGCATAATCAACCTGGACATCCTCTTAAGACCAAGCTGTATGAACGACCTAATGCTAAAGCAATCAAGGTTGGACTCCATTCATTTAATATTCAGCCTTAATATAGATGATCTAATGTTATCTCAATCCTGCTCCTTTTACTTGATAATGTTCTTTCTATTGCATTGGTTATATGCACTTCTTATTGACTTGAAGTTTTTGCAGGTTAGGCATAGCTACCTTTTATTTGAACCAAGGATAATTTAAAATGGAATAAACAAATTCATGTGTCTTACTACAGCATTTGCATTGTCTACTTGTCTTTTAGACTTGAGGCATATTGAGAGATATAAAAAGCATCTACCTTTTATGTGTATGATATGAGTGGAAAAATATGTTTTTGCTACACTGGCTACAGAAAAGTAACATGTTATGTTTGGCTTTTAGCTGTTCTGGTAATTGGCCATATAACATTTTATTGTCCGTCATCTGACCATCAGACGTGACTGTTAGATGATAATCATTTATTGAACTTATAGCAGTGCTTTTTCCTATTTCTTCTTCATATTATTCTTTTTAAATCTCATTCTATGTAAACCATAAAGTTGATGATATCAGTTCATCCTCAGAGTACGGTAAGGGCTCTTTGTGAATACCAGTTTCTTCCAGAGCAGCCAACCATGAGGACCGACACACATAAAAGAGTTGCCCCATCCTACCACTACAGTTCACTCGCTGATGGTCCAAATGCAAGGGGGCGGACATTCATGCATGGGAATGAACATACACCCCCTGCATATGCTGTTTTGGGTCATATGCCTAATTTGAATCTTTTGCCTCAGCCAGCCAGGCAGGGGAACTTCTTGTCAACTGCTTCAGGAGAAAATGATAATACTTCACGCATGGATTCCTTTACAAGTACTGCTGATGATGCTAATGTTGGTGCTCACCCAATAACTGCACTGGAAAGCCCATTTATGTCTTCTGACAGGAGGTCCAGTCTAGATGAGGATGTTTTGCGGATAGAGAGGAAGCGAAAGGTATCTTAGTTCACCATAAACATTGTCATGGCTTTTGACTTTCAAATATTATTTCCTGATGATTATATGCAACTGTTACAGAGTGAAGAGGCAAGAATAGCACGTGAAGTTGAAGCTCATGAAAAAAGGATCCGAAAAGAGCTTGAAAAGCAAGATATGTTAAGGCAAAAGGTTTGGCTTGCTATTTGCACTTTTTCCTTTGTGAGATTTGCAAGTTATATACTGATATCTTCTCTTTCTTTACCCAGAGAGAAGAGCAAAGAAGGAGGGAGATGGAGAGGCATGACCGAGAAAGGAGGAAGGAAGAGGAGAGGCAGTTACGAGAAAAGCAGCGAGAGGAGGAGAGATACCTGAGAGAGCGGAAGCGTGAAATAGAGCGGAGGGAGAAGTTCTTGATGAAGGAATCTATTAGAGTAAATTTAAGAAAAATGCTTGAGTTGTTTTGTGCCTTGGCATATGGCGTATAAGAGATCATTTTGCTTCTTTGTCTTCTTAGGCTGAGAAAATGAGACAAAAAGAAGAGCTACGCAAGGAAAAGGAATTAGCAAGGCTTAAAGCTGCTAATGAGAGAGCTCTTGCTCGTAGACTTGCTAAAGAATCAATGGAACTTATTGAGGATGAACGTTTGGAGCTCATGGAGCTAGCTGCATCAAGTAAAGGGCTGCCTTCAACACTATCTCTTGACTTTGAAACTTTGCAAAACCTTGATTTGTTTAGAGGTATGAAATATTTGGTTTGGATTGTGTTGTTTTTATTTTATTTATGATGATTTCCCTGATTGAGGAATTGAGAGCCCTGGGTTTTAGTATAAAGGTCATGACTGGTATATATTTTATGATAGTATGAATTTAATTTAATGTTATTTCGTATGATGTTTATTTTACCTTGTAAATTTTTTAGTATGTATTACTGTCTGTATATTATGCCTAATTCAACAATTTATCAGTCATTTTCTATCTCAAACTTGTTTGCCTAATGTATTTGATCTTAAATTCTTGTATCTTTTTACTCATTGTCCTTTCTGTTGTTTGGTTTCTATATAAGCAACCACTTATGTTGCTTTGTCTACATCTATGTTTTAGATAAGCTGTGTAAGTTCCCTCCCAAAACTGTTCAATTGAAGAGGCCTTTCTCAGTTCAGCCATGGGACAGTTCTGAGAACATTGGGAATCTTCTTATGGTGAGCTTGAGCGGTTATTTTCCTTTAGTTTCCATTTGGTGGCTTTTCCTGATAAGGTATAATAGATATTAAGATTGAAGTGCTGCAGGGAAGAATCATTTTTATTTGAACTGTGCTGGTTATTTTTCTACTTTCTTGTAGATGTAACCATCTGATAATTTCTGATTTATTGATATCAGGAAATAGTTGTTTATATCAATTCTGTTTGGGTTTAGCCCTGAACTCCATTGCAGTATTATGTTACCCTGTGCTCCATCTTGGAATTACCACCAAAGATGTAACTCTACAGGGTCAGGTTTCATTTCTGATGAATTACAAGTAGCCTCATTTGCCATGTTAATGAGATTTTTAATCTATCTTTATTTTTCCTTTTCATGGTCTAAATTCTGTTTCACATGTTATAGACCCTTAAATTTTGTTAATTGTTTATGGCCTACCATTGGTGTTTTTATCCTCAGTTTGAAATGAACTGGATTGATTGCATGGCTAAGCATTGTTTTTCTGACAGTTTTGAACTTTGGTTTAAAATGTTCTAGGTCTGGAGGTTCTTGATCACTTTTGCAGACATTCTTGGGCTTTGGCCTTTTACTTTGGATGAGTTTGTCCAAGCTTTTCATGATTATGTAACTCATTTTCCTTTTCCATATAGACTTTCTTTGAATGAAATCCTTATGCTGGAAGTTGGATTGTGGAGCTGACTCTCTCCTTAGTTCATATTCTCTGATTTTCAGGATCCAAGGTTGCTGGGTGAGATACATGTTGCTCTTCTGAGATCTATCATTAAAGATATTGAGGATGTTGCACGGACACCTTCCAGTGGGCTAGGAGCAAATCAAAATAGTGCTGCTAATCCTGGAGGTGGGCATCCTCAGATTGTTGAAGGCGTAAGCTATTCTTAGTTGTTACTGGTGTAACTCAGAGCTAATTTAAGCTTAAATCATTTGCCCCATCTGACGTTTTCTCCCTCCCCCTTTCCCTGGTGGAACCTATCAGGCGTATGCTTGGGGTTTTGATATTCGTAGTTGGCAGCACCACTTAAATGTATTGACGTGGCCTGAAATTTTACGACAGTTTGCTCTTTCTGCTGGATTTGGGCCACAACTAAAGAAAAGAAATGTTGAACAGGCTTATCTTCATGATGACAATGAGGTGCATATTGTTTTTCATTATCTTTCGAGTGTTATGCTTTTATTCTGGTTGTTTAATGAGTTGTATATTCATTATGCTTCAATTTTCTGTGGGCCAAAGCACCTATATGCCCCCTAGACATTTTTTCTTTCCACGGTCAACACCCTAAACTAATTTTCCTCCCAGTCAACACCCTCCATAATTTGAAACCTGCAAAAAACCTCAAATTACCAATGAAGTTAGGGTGCAAATAGTGGGTTTGACTGTTAATTTTTGGGTTTTTTACGGATTTTAGATTATGGAGGGTGTTGACTGGGAGGAAAATTAATTTAGGATGTTGACTGTAGAAAAAAATAATGTGTAGGGTGCAAATAGGGGGTTTGGCCATTTTCTGTGCTAAAGATCCATAATCTTTGTTTCTTTGGAATTTTTAGCTCTCCTCTTGGTGAAACATCTTAGTGCACAAGTTGGTCATTTCTTGAAGTTTCTTTACTAGTAACTTGTGAATTTTATTCTAAGGGCCTAGTTTGTCAATATCAGAGAATAATCCAACCCTTACCCAGTGACTGATGCCTTGGTGTGCCATAATCTTCTCATTTGTCTCAAACCAACAATCTTTTATACTTTTTGGAAATGCATTATATTAACTTTATATAGTGATGTGATTCAAGCACTTCAGATTCTTATCTCTTGAAATGTATTTTCTATTGATATTTTTTTAAAAGTTCTTAATATATTATTTGTCATTGTAGGGTAATGATGGTGAAGATATTATTTCTAATTTGCGAAATGGAGCAGCTGCTGAAAATGCCGTTGCTATAATGCAAGAAAGAGGCTTTGCTAATTCACGCAGATCTAGGCATCGCTTGACACCTGGAACTGTTAAATTTGCAGCATTTCATGTTCTTTCTATTGAGGGCAGCAGGGGCCTCACAATATTAGAAGTTGCAGATAAGATTCAGGTTATAAAGCTGCCCTGGACTAAACTTAATTGATTTTTCTGACTCAGCATTCTTATATTTCTTTTTTTTTTTTTTGTCCTTTCTGATTCATTAATCTAAGAAATCTGGACTGAGGGATCTTACGACTAGCAAGACACCGGAAGCTTCCATAGCAGCTGCTTTGTCAAGAGATACAAAACTTTTTGAGAGAACAGCTCCTTCGACTTACTGTGTGCGTTCTCCATATAGGAAGGATCCAGCTGATGCTGAGTCAATACTTTCTATAGCCAGGGAAAAAGTAAGGATATTTAAAATTGGCTTTATAGGAGAAGATGCAGAGGATGCTGAAAGAGATGAAGATTCTGAAAGTGATATAGTGGAGGATCCTGAGGTTGATGATTTAGGTGCTGAGTTAAAGCCTAAAAAAGAGGCTCACCATTTTCAAGGAAATGGCCGTTCCAATGCAAAATCTGTCCTGGGGAATGGAAATGAGAGTGGTCAGAACACAGAAGCTCCACAAGATGAAGCTGGAAAAATAACTGAGGCCTTATCATCAACATGTCCTGAAGATTTCAATGAGGTAAAGGATATTAGAACTTCAGTTAATTCTATTGATGTGGCTGATGATGATCAAGAAGATAAAGACATTGATGAAAGTAACCCTGGTCAACCCTGGGTTCAAGGACTTGTTGAAGGGGAATACTTTGATCTGAGTGTGGAGGAACGCCTTAATGCACTTGTTGCTTTGATTGGTGTGGCAATTGAAGGAAACTCTGTCAGAGTTGTTCTTGAGGTAGTATTTTCTTCTTCTGTTCATTTATCTAATTTTTCTGCTGATTCCTTTTGTTGGTGATCTTGATTGAAATTCATTTCAGGAACGCCTAGAAGCTGTAAATGCTTTAAAGAAGCAAATGTGGGCAGAGGCACAACTTGATAAACGTCGTATCAAAGATGAGTTTGTGCTCCGGACAAATTTTTTGTCATATGTGAGTAACAAGACAGAGGCTAGCCTTGCAGGTTTGTCAGCTGAATGCAAGCAAAGCCTGCAAATCACTGCTTCTGAAAAAAATACAGAGACATCAACGGAACCTCCTCTGCAGCCAGCAAGATTAAATGATCCACAGAATGATCAAAATTATCTTAACAATATGCCAACAGAAGGAAGCCTGCCAATGCCAGATATCTGTACCAGACCTGACAATCTCCAAGGTCTCCAATCAGGATATGCTGCTGAAAGATCACGTTCACTGTTAAAATCTTATATTGGTCACAAAGCAGAGGAGATGTATGTATATAGATCATTGCCACTTGGTCAGGATCGTAGATGGAACCAGTATTGGAGATTTATTACTTCTCCATCCTCAAATGATCCTTGCTGTGGCAGGATCTTTGTTGAGTTACATGATGGTCATTGGAGGCTCATTGATACAGAAGAGGTAGCATTTTTTTGAGTGTCTTTCATATACTACAAAGATATTGCTCTATTTGAATTTTAACATGTTTTTCCATTTGTGTACCTTTCTCTGTATCAGTATGCAGGATAGCAGCTCTGCTTTTTAGCATGGACAAGAAACTTATACTACTTGCAGTCTCTTAAAATCATTGATTATTTATTTGAAATTACCCTGAAACAGTTACCTGCTAACATTTTAATGTGTTTCTAGTTTTCTTCTACGCTTAGTGTTGTAATACATTCTTGGCTTTCCTCATTGTTCTAGTCTATATGCAGGGTTTTGATGCATTGGTGGCATCTTTAGATGTCCGTGGGGTCAGAGAATCGCATTTGCACGCAATGTTGCAGAAGATTGAGGTGTCCTTTACGGAAGCTGTTAGGAGGAATAAGCTGCACGGTATTATTGAGAGGCAAAGTCAGGAAACCATTAGAACAGAAGCCAACCAAATGGTTTTTGGCCCTAATGTCTCTATGGACTCTTCTAGTAGTGCTGTATGTGCTTCTGATTCTGATATCTCAGAGATGTCAACTTCCTTTCAAATTGAGCTGGGAAAAAATGAAAAGGAGAAACATGATGCATTGAAAAGATATCAAGATTTTGAGAAGTGGATGTGGAAAGAATGTGTTAGTTCATCACCATTATGTGCCTTGAAGTATGGGAAGAAAAGGTGCAAGGAGCTGTTAGTTATATGTGATTACTGCCATGATATTTATTTTTTCGAAGATAATCACTGTCAGTCTTGCCATTGGGCATATGGTGCTTCAAAAAGCAATTTATATTTTTCTGAGCATGCAGCTCAGTGTTTAGCAAAGCTGCAAATGGACCCTATCTCCACTCTGGACAGTTCAATCTCTTCACCTCTGAGGATGAGATTGATTAAAGTGCAGTTGGCTATGGTTGAGGCAAGTGCCTCTCCTTTTTCCTATTAAGTTGCAGTTTTTTTTTTTTTTTTTAATTGTGTTTGAATTAATAGATAATTATGGCAAAAAAAATTAATGAATACAGTAATTAGTTTTATGATTATATTTTCGGTTTGCTGATTTTGGGATCATTTAAAAATGATCTTGAATTTTGTTGATTTTTTTTTCCCCAAAATTGAGTAGATAGGGCCTTAGGTTGAAACTAAGCGCGGGAGTTTCCCGCCTGTGAAATTGGCCAAGCTAGGTATCAGCATATAAAATAACTGTTAGCTAGCGCTAATGTGTGCTTTCCGTAAAGGAAGCCTAACGTTTATGCCCATGCGCTACACGTGACACACACATTAATTTTGGTCTTATTTACCAAAGGAGTAAATATTACTATTTTTTTTTTAACAATTTAATATGATACGGGATCAAATTCACCCAAGAAAAAAAGTGTACTTATTCAATATAATTAATGTCACTAAACACAAAGGATCGATTGCCAGTAAATATTACACTTTACTTTATTGTATCAAAAAATAAGTGAGAGGCGAAAATCCTTGAACTGGATAAGGTCAAGGGCAATCTATGGGTTTGTTTGCCAAAGCATCCAAAGCCTTCTAGCCCAATGTTTTAGGAGCATAAGATGAGTAGGAAATCTCATGGTTCCCATTTACATTCATATATACAAACTTACAAAGCCTACCCCAAACTCATTTCAAGCCCAAATTTAATCTTTGGCAGTACTGGCATGGGCCTGCTTTTAAGTTTGGGTTATACACTTTTTTGGGTAGTAGTTTGGGATATACATTTAAATTAGCTCAATATCACCAACCGGG